CAATTAAAAATTAAGATTGAAAAACATTTAATAAGTATAAAATGTATATTGTCTTAAATTACAACAAACAAAGAATAATATAATAAATACAAAAAATAATATAATAATATAAAAATAAATAAAGAAAAATAGAATTAAAATAATATACTATAATAATATTGATAAACAAATAAAAATTAAAATCATATTTTAAAAATTATTTCAAATGAATCAAGTTCTGATTAGAGGTTGGAAGAGTTGAACCCTTTCTAAAATAGAATTCTCTCGACATATGTTTCAAGATAGAATTCCATTAAGACAAAGTCTTTTATAAGAAATATTTTTTTTGATGATTTCAATGAAATCAGGGTGCGTTATATGTTTGGATCAAGTAAAATCATAAGATTATTTATTTTTTATTTTTATATTTCTTTTACTTTTTGTATGCTACTTGATATAAAATTTTATAGTTAAATTCATAAACCGACAATTATTTCCTAGTAGTTTTCTCTTGACGGGTGTTTTAAAATAGGATCGTGTCTAACAAAATGGTGTAGAATAGGTGCACTATATATTTGGATCAAGTCGAATTAATGGATCATTTATTTGTTCTTAAAGATTTTGCATCTCTTATTTAACATAAAATTTTATGTAGATGTTATTTGGTAAAAAATATTTTCCACTATGTCTACATTAAAAAGAAAATAGATGTAAGAATAGATGTCTATGTCAATTTTATAATGATTGAAAATGTGAGACTTATAAATGATATTTTGATGAATTAAATTGACAAACATTATGTAATCAAATACGTGTACAGTCTCACATTATATATAAGCAAACACCATATTTAAAGTGTTAATTAGGCCAGCAAAGTTAGACGTAGTTGGACAAATATGTGTACAATCTCACATTTGTATAAGCAAACATCACATTTATGATAGGAGTGGCCCTTTACCCTTCATTATTATTTGTCTATTGCTAACGTGTTTATCCTTAAGATAACTTTTTTTTTGGGACTAAATGTTTCTTTTGGACAACTTTTTTTTGGGCAAAATGTTTCTTTAGGAAACTTATTATAAAGTTAAAATATATTAAATTTGTGTTGTAGAAAATAGTTTTTAAATTTCTATATTTGAATTCCTAATGTATGATATAAAATATATTAAATTTGTGTTGCAGAAAATAGTTTTTAAATTTTTATATTTGAATTCCTAATGTATGATATAACCTATATTTATAAGCAATAATATCTAAATGATTTTATAAAAAACATTTAATTTTTATAAGTATTTTTTTATAAATATTATTTCATAAGATGTACCAACTTGATCCTCAAATACACATAATTAATTCGGGTAAAAGAAAGAGCTGAATTATATTATACTAAATTAATTTTCATGATCAAGAGAGCTGCCATGTGTTCAATAAATAATTCTCGTGATCAAATTACATTCATTATTTAGTAAAAGCATATAAAGAGATGTCAAATGGGAGACAAGAATACATTCTCATCTCAATCTCTGTTTTCAATTTACTCTTAATTTCCATATCGAATCCTCCGTTTTTATATATATCTATAAACATAAAATTTTATTTATTATTTTTAACTAAATTAATTAAAAAAATCCAAAAACTAAACAGAATAAATTAATCATCTACAATAAATATATTATTTTAACAATATTTAATCTTGAGATTCATAACATAAAATTTCCAAATTTATAAAAAAATTAAAATAGTTATTTAGATCTCTCTCTTTTTTTTTATTAACATTATATATGTGTTTTATATTTGTTTATAAAATAAATTATTTGAAATGATAAATAAACCTACATAGAATGTTAAATTATATATTAATTAAAGATATTATGGAATTTTAGTGCGGGGTGGAGATTCTACGGAGTGTGAGATATGTTCGTCATCCCCATCCCTAAAATATCTTCGAGAAAACTTTATTCTCTATTCCTGTTCATATAGGAGAAAATTTCTTCATCTTTAAAACCCTAAACAAAAATTTCCGCAAATACAAATTGACATCGTTAAAAATACATGAATAATACTATAATAATAATAATAATAATAATAATAATAATAATAATAATAATAATAATAATAATAATAATAATAATAATAATAATAATAATAATAATAATAATAATAATAATAATTATTATTATTATTATTATTATTATTATTATTATTATTATTATTATTATTATTATTATTATTTTGGTATATACTCTTTGGTAAAAGAACCATTCTAAATTTTGGTTTAAACTTATAGACTTTCTTTTACCAAATTTAGAGAGACAAAGCTTGCATTTTGGTCATGCTAGTAGAAATTTAGAGAGATAAAAGGTAAAAAAATTTAATGAGTGTATTTTTGGAATTTAAGAAATCTTTGGAGGTGTTTAAGAGAATTGGAAAACACTTCTAAAAGATTGTATAATTCATATTGAAGAGTTAGAGAGATTATGAAATACTTGATTGGAAAAATAGGGTTTATTATTGAGAGTTTAAATGATTATTTTCTTGCAACTTTTTTTAATAGATTGTAACAATTGTTGGAAGTATAGTGTAATTAGAAAGTTGCTCTTTTTCATAGTAGATCGGTTTAATTGAATTGGATAATAAGTTTCTTTGTATTCTTATATTTTATCTTTCTTTTATTTTTTGTGGATTTGCTATCAATAATTGTGGATTGTATTGGTTGCTTTAGGTCATTTATTTCCATTGCCATTGTTTTTGTCCCACATATCAACTTTTTTGGTTTATTTGAATATATCAACAAATTTACTAGATTTGTTAGAGTTCTTACAATAAGTGGTCCCCACCATGGGGAAAAGGGAATTCGTTTACAAGTGAGCACTGTGGATTCTTAATGGTAGATCAAGATGTTTCCTTAATGTAATGATCTTGGATTTTGGAAAGTGAATATGTAAAAAAATATTAACTCTAGAGAAGTGTAGTAAATCATAATGTATGCAGGCCTAACATAAGTCGAGAAGATCGAAATGGTGGATAAGGCCTATAGTCCCGTTATGTTGTGCCTCAAGGATAAATATCTAAGGGAAGTCAACATGGAAAATATCATGAGTTCGATGTGGTAAAAGCATAAATCATTTTATATGACCAAGAATTTGGCTCACAGGTTGTGTTTGAAACAACGACTATACTCATTCTGAATGGTAGAAAACAAATCTATAGTGAATCAGTTGACATAATTTGACAAGACCATTGATAATCAGGAGAATATTGAGGTATGGATTAAATATGAGGACAAAATTATAGTCTTGTTAATATCATTATCTAGATCCTTTGAGCAATTTAAGGATGCTTTCTTTATGGTAAGGATGGTACTATTACTTTGGATGAAGTCCAGATGGCTGTAAGATTCGAGGAATTTCCAAAGGTGAAAGCTATGAAGATTAAAGATATTGATGAAGGCTTGAGCCAATATTAAAATACTTTACTTGTTATAAACTAGAGACTTCTTGAGAGAGTGGCCCGGTAAGAGGGGCAATGATGATTTTTTTTCATATTGCAATTGTATCATATGAGGTTAGTTATGATAATATTTATGCACTAATGAGGTCAATTTTGCATACTAAAGAAATTTGGATCTTGGACTCAGGTTTCTCTTACGTGTCCAAGAAAAAAATACTTTGAGATTTTTAAGCTAGAGGAAGGTAGATTAGTTTGCCTTGGAATAATGAGACTTAAAATATTCGACGATCATGAGTTTTTTCACAAAGTGTTGTATGTCCCAGAACTCACCTGAAAATTGTTATTCATAAGCATGTTTGATGGTCCAGTCTACTACACTAGAGTTGAACATTGGGGTATTGAATATTTCCCATGGTGTATTAATCATTAAAAAATGGTCTAAAATATGTGGCTTGTATAACTTAGAAAGTTTTGATGTTGTTGTTCTTTCATCGTCACTTAGAGAAGAATTCCATGACAAGAACAATCTATGTTATTTGAGGCCAAGGCATGGTAGATTCAAGAAGGTTGTTTTATATCACTTTAATGAATTTTGCAGAAGACGTGGGATAAAATAAATTTGACCACTGAGTTATTATTGAATTTTTTAGGTAAGGTTTGGGTCAAAGCAGTTTACCTGGTCAACATGTGTTCATTTATAGGAAAAAAATTCTAAACACTTATGGAGGTTTGGAGTAGGAAAATTGTAACCTACTTTGTTTTGAAGGTCGACAAAGCTTTTCCTATTGCATAAATCAAGCTTCACTACAAGAAAAATGATAGATTGGGACGGTTATTTTGGCTGATTACGACGGTTAAAACCATCGCAATTTACAATCTACGACGGTAGAAGTACCGTCGCAGAATCGTGCGTCCCCAGCCTATTTCGCGACGGTTGCAAAAACTGTCACGCACAACAGATAGCGACGGTTATATACCGTCGTGAATTTGACTTTATTTTTTGTTTTTGTTTTTGTTGTTGTTTGCGACGGTTATTCTACCGCCGTAGGTTAGAAATTGCGGCGGTTTTAACCGTCGTAATCTGATTTATAAATTTCAAATAATATTTTTATTTAAATTATTATTTAGTAAAATAATTTTAAATATAATATTATTTTACTATAATATTTTACTATTATATTTAAATTATTATTTACTTTAATATTTTTTTATTTATAGTATTTTTATTTTATTTTCTATCACTTTTCAACATAATAAAGTTAATTACAATAAAAACATTTAATATCAAATAATCATCAATAATATCAAAAAAATGTGATCAAAGGTAAAAAGAAGTGCAAATTTTACCAATAAACAAGAAAAATTCAAATATCATCAAAGGCCAAATTTCATTTTAATATTTACATTGGTTTGCTACAACTTGAGAGAATTACAAAAAATGTTACATTTATTCCTAACTCTTGTTCCTCATCCCACCATGACTCCCAACTCTTGTTTGAAGAAACACCAATACCACCTCGACTACTAATCCATTTATTCCAATCATCCCAGTCCTCAACTATCTTCTGCCATTAAAATCCTGATGGATTGAAAAGGAAAGGAGCAAACAACCAAGAGCTAACCAAAAACCACATTGACCATGACAGAAATGCGTATGCTGCTGAGTCAGTTGTTGCTGATCCATAAATCATATAACAAATGAGCAATATTGTGAGCTCAATCCCTTTGACAAAGTGACTCCTAGAGTACATCCTGTAATTGTCTGCAAACTTTTCATGACGAACGACAAATCCATGCCCAGTTGCTCTGTACTTTGCCCCTCCATGCAGGAGAGTGTGCCCAAAATAGTGCATTTTCGTTCCAAGCGAGAAAGTAAAGAAAACAGGTGCCAGCTGTAACTGCATTATTATTATGCAGGCGAGCACATGAAGATTAAAAAATAAAATGTACATTTTATAATGGTAAAGTAGAAAGAGAAAGAACGTAGGATAGTTACGATTTCCATGGAGTGTGGATCAGAAGAGAGGCCTTCCTCAGAGGCAAGGGAGAGAGCAAGGTCACGAGCCCTCCAAACATGCACTGCATCGTGAGAAGCATCATTCCCTTTCATTGCTTTCTCAACCAACGCCTCAGCTTTTCTTACCCTCTCTTTCCTCTCCATCTCCATCCTCTCTCTAGTTCCAGGAACTGCAGTTGCGCACCTCACTCGGCCAATATATTTTCTTCTACTATCTTTGCAAAATAAAAATCTGCACCCTAGTCCATGAAACAATTAGAGCTTTCAATTTATCACACTCAACACCGGCCCAATGTGTTTCAAAGTCGTCAAAAACAAGACCAAAAGCTTGTTTCAAAATGTGTACAGAATAGTGAGGAAAATACAGTTCAGTGACATACTTGAATTCACAGTAAGGTTGTTAGTTTTCCTGAGTATGTCAATGTTTCTCACTCCAGTCAACAATAATGCAACTCTAGTATCCTGAATCAAAATCAAAATCAAAAGTGTCTCAGGATGTTAGATTATTTCAATCATAATGAATACACATAACCAATGCACATTAAAAATTGAAATACTCATCCAAAGCCTCCTTGAGAGCACTTTCAGCCCTATCCCACGTTTCATCATCTCCAAGCTTATTCTCTGGCCTCTACTCAAGTATTTAACACAGGCAAGGCTAAATAAATAACTGAGTCATTAAATAGATTAAACCAATTACTAACAGCAGAGTCTACCAAGCTTATCATGTACTACTATATCATGTATCAGAAGAAAAGAAAATAACAAGAAAGCTAGTTCTTTGTATTGAGGCCATATTCCCAATTATTAACTGTTCCTACTAATGTTATTTATTCACAAACTTCATCATATTTCAAACCATAGAGAAGTGTTCCTAGTAATGTTATTTATTAAACATATAAACAAAACATGTACCATAGGAAGAGAAAGACTGGTAAGATACGATCAAAATGATCTATATCAGATGACGCTCTTAGAAGGAATAATTGCAACAAAGAAACAAATAATGAAATTATCAAATCAGAATTAACTTACATTGCAGACAAAACATATAGTGGCAGTTGTTTCCAAACTATTAAACAGATTTATCAGCATCTCTTTTGGAAGCCTTTTTGCCATTTCAACAGAATCTTTTCCAATAGGATCTGAATTGTATTCTTTAACAAGAAGTGGGTGGTCACAAGCCTGACGGAGACGTAAAAGCATCAAAAGAATATTTGCATAGTTTTGATTCACTGTACGGCAGCTTGTATAGAGATCTCTGGAAGACTGATAAATCATCCATGTTCAATACCCCACTGTCAAAGCATAAAAAAAATGTAGTTCAGGCTACCTGTAGTACTGCAACCCGATTCTCCATGGAATGAGCATTGCTTCTCCAAACAACTTCTTGCTGACTTGTTGGCAAATGATGAACTCCCACTGGCATGAATTTCCTCATCAGAAAGTAATCCATGGTCATAGGTACAAGGCTCTCTCAAACTACAAGCTTTATCTAGCATTGCATGTCCCGGTTCACTTCCTGTAAGAACATGAGAATCAGCTGTGCTCTCTAACACGGGAGAAATTTTTTCAAGGTTGATCTTCTTCTGGCAGCCATCTTGTAGATCCAGAGACTGAAGAGGAAAAAAGAGATTAAAAAGCCTGATTATAAGGAGGAAGTTACAATACATAAATACAATGGTGACACTAAATTGGAATTTATCTCTGACCTGCCTAGGAGTAGTAGGTGTATTTTGCAGAGTTCTACATTTATATGTTTCATCAGCATTAGTGTGAAAGCTCCAACCACGTAAATGTATAGAACGATGCAACTCATTCACAAATGAGGCCTCTAAAGAACTCATATATAATTTATGCAATTGATCTGTCCATCGTCTAGACTTGTCCTGGTACAAAATTTTGAATTAGGTATATCCTTGCCAACTAAATGAAATGAAAATAAAAGCTTCTAAATTCACAAGCAATCAAAAACAAGGTCCAAGGACGGACACAATTTATTAAGCAAAGACACGTGGAAGACAGGGTGTGTCTTTGCTGTGGCTGGTTGCTGCAGCTTGTAAGCCACCTCTCCAATTCTAGCTAGCCAGCAACATAAATGGACCATAATAACGTGGAGCGAACTTGGGACTGATGCGCACCTCTACTGACTGCTGAACACGCGGATGCAATTTCAGGAAAACCCAATCACGAACTTGAAACTACATCATTCCTGTGAGCATCAGCTAAAGGTTTCATTCTAACTTGAGCATGGTGCAAATGAAATTTCAACTGGCGTAAGCACTCATCAAGATCCATTAAATCCCTTCAATCAACAATATGTAGGTTTTTTCAGTTCATACCGTTGAAAGTTTCAGTTCATATGTGAAACCAAATATTTGATAGACATAATCAATGAAGTCCAAGGCTTTTCTCACTTCATCTTTAACCTGCAAAATGAATTAATAGAATAATTTCAGCTTCAGCTTAAAAGATATCATACAAATTATATTACATAAATTTACGTTAACACACCTGGGACTCCCTGCAGAAAATATGTGCATCATCCTGTCCAACACACAAAGTAAAGGGCATAAACAATACAGAACTAATAGTATAGAAAATAGAAGTTAAAGACAAGGTGATAATCAGTCAAAATAGCTTGCAATGTTCCTCCTATTGTAACTGTACCAGACCTTTAGATAAATGAAGAATATCATCATGAGAAGAGAAAATTTGATAATTTATCTACACTAACTCACATCCACATAGGGAATATAAGAGTGGCTTCGCTTGGTGGTAGGGTGGAGGAGATAAGGACGGGAGTGAAAAGGAGGTTGGAGGTCCGATCCCCATCCAAACATAAAACTAACATTTTTTGTTTTAAAAAATACTACCATTCACACCATAAATACAACCCCACAATTGGGGTGCTCCAATATTTACAATAGAAGCAACTATAAATGTAATCAAGATAAAACAAAGAAAACTGGTCCCTTCCACAGTTCCAACAAAGATTTACCTGCTGAAATCTCCTAACACGTGTTAATCCACTTAGGGCACCACTGGCCTCATTTCGATGCAAAACCCCAAAATCAGCAAAACGAAGAGGAAGTTCTGCAAAACCATAACAGTGTTGTGAGATGATATTTTATACAAAAAACATCAGCTCTACCTAAAAATATCCAAACAAAAATGGAAACTAAATTATCTCTACCTCCCATCGCACCAAAATTATAATTTTTAGTCTATTTCCAGTTCAATTTTTGGACATGATTGAAAAATTCTTGCTCTTTATCCCAAAATGATTCTATATGGAAGAATACAGCTTATTAATAAACCAATTCCTTGAGCTATATGTGAATATGTAAGTAAGAGGGAAGATGAGACCATGTAAAATAACACTGGACAGGTATTACTCAATTTAGGCATATTCAAATGAAAATGTTAATCCATTAACCAAGTAGCTCAAACAGATGCATTATCCTGATTTCAACAATATATTCTGGACTAGCTCAGCCACCATAAGTATAGAAATAAAAGATGTTATTTAAAAACATATGTTTATGCAAATGAAAATTACCTCTATATGAACGAACTCTGTGTTTAAATATCAAGCAGTGTCGTGGGCAATTCATTGGTTTCAATCCAAATTCTTGTTTGTCAACCTAAAACACACAATATTTATAATTTGGATAGATAAATTAATTGTGTTCAAAATAATCAACCTATTATGAAGGTTTTGTAGAAAAATTCTTCAAAAAAAATTATCATACTAATACTTCTCCATTTCGCTCTTAAAAACTATCTACAAACAGCGACATATTTAATCTAATAATCAAATCAAACCTTAAAACAACAAATTAGAAAACCTAAAAAATCATAAAAAGAAATAAAACCCTAAAACAACAAATTAGAAAACCTAACATCAATTCAATATATTCAAACTCAAAATCAATCATCACAAAGAGCTCAACCATAAAATTACCTAGAAAACACCCTTATCAACCTTGCATTTTAAAATGCCATTGACCTTTAAGGCATAGAACAAATCCTTGAGAGAGGACGACGACCCGAGATTTTCCACTACCTTCCGACAAGTGGTTATGCTCACATCAGGCTTATTCTCAAGCGCAAGAATCTCAAATACTCTTAGAGCATCACAGGCTTCTTCTAAACTGATAAGATAACAAGAACAAAAATGAATTTTCCTACTCAGCCATCTAACATATAATTTCAACATACTACTGCAAACCTAAAATATTAATTGACAACAAAACTTATCTAAATAACTAGTGTTTGATAACAATTGAACATGATATAATTAATTAATATTTGATTAATTAAGGGTTGAATCGACCTTGAAGAGGAACCATCGAAGAGTTGTAAAGCAGCGGAACAGTGAGAATCGGAAATCGGACTTGGATTCGTGACGGCGTTGCAGATCGAAATAGTGAAAAACAGTATGAGAAATTTGGCTAGGTTTATGGCCATTTCTGCAGCTATGAATCTATGAATGCAAATCGCATTTACGATAGGTTAGGGATTTGAGAAATGAGATCGAGAATTACGAGATACGCGAAGAAACGACTTGTGCGAGTGAGTCTGTGTGTTTTTGGTGCAACTGAACTAGTATCATCACTGGCTCTTGATCATCTAGCCATCTTTTCAAACAACGAATCGCCGCCAGTCGCTGCCGTCACGGTGCTTCCGGATTCTCTGAACGCAGGAGTAGAAAGTGAATTGATGTTTTAAGAGCTTTTTAACTTTATTACGGCGACGGGTGTTTTACCGTCGTGCCCATGAGAATTTTTAAAGGTTTTGGGTGCGACGGTTGTTTTACCGTCGTGAAATGAATTTTAGGACGGATAATTTTACCGTCGTGAAAGGTTTAAGGGTGCGACGGGTGCTTTACCGTCGTGATATGCCTTTTAGGACGGTTAATTTTACCGTCGTGACTAGTTGTTGGTGAAAAATCAATGTTAAAAGTGTTAAATGGGGGCCGACGGTTGTTTTACCGTCGTAATAATAATATTATGATGGTTAAATATACCGTCGCAAAATAAATATTAGGGACGGTTGGTGTCAACTGTCGTAAACACTGTCTCTATATGTCAATTACGACAGTTATCACATAACTGTCGCAATTTTTGTGTCGTTAAACACTAATTTTCTTGTAGTGCTTATACATCTTCAAGGTAAGGTTTTGAATTATGTCTTCAATTATTATCCATAAGGTGGAATGAGTTATGAGTTGTGGGAAGTGGAACCTGAAGGATCAAATGTCATCATTCACATATGTATTACTTTTAGTGCGTCCAATAAGAGGAGGAAGAGTAAAGACCTAAAGATGAAGGTTTTATAAACTATGGAAGAGAAGACTCAACTTGAGGTAAAGATTCCTGCTACGGATACTAGTACTAGTAAGGAAAAAATTATAGAGGCTTCCGATTATCATTTAAATCATGATAAGGTAATGAAGTAGATTTTATCTTCTCAAAGGTAACATTGTATTGACCTTGAGTATTATGGTTTGAATGTGGCTGAAGGATTGCAAAACTCAAAAACAAAAACCTCTGGGGTGAATTCAAAAGCAAGTGGAGTTAAATATGGTTAAGGGTCCATGTTTTTTGGCTTGTTATATTGAATGAGAAGGAAAATGTGGTTGGAACCAAATGGATGCAAGTCACAATATCAAGGTTCATGCGGAGCTTGAACTTGGTCAAAGTTGTTGAATGATAATTCAATAGGAGAGAGCGGTAAGGTGGTTAATGGATAAATTGACATCATCATGGTTGAAAGTCAAGATGGATAATTATATAAGTGTTTCTTAAAACCTTGATTGATGAAAATAATAAAATTGTATTTCAAGACTGTAAGAAATCAAAGTTGTGGAAAACCAAAAACCAATAGAAAGGTCGATGAAATAAATTATAATTGTGAAGGTGGTGGCCTCTGAAAATGACAAAGGAGTCGTGGTAGCGGCACAATAGTCCATGGTGTGCCAGTGGCCAACCAAATTCCAGGTGGTGGCGGTGGAAGATGGGTGTAATACGATGGGAGAACTGAATTTTTTATCATTTTATCGCAAATGTTGTAGATAGCAAGAGTCGTCACCGAATTTTCTTTTATCCAATAAGGAAAGGTGAAAAGAACATGAAAGACCTTTGATAGATTTTGAGTTCGGGTGGTAAGTTATGAAAAGGGAAGGTATTAGCACCCTTTTCATCCGTAGTTATCTACGGGCTCTTAATCGCTTAGCTCACTTTGAAAATTTTCTTTTTGTGTGTGTTTGAAAATATTTTGAAAGTGCCAATGTAAGGCGAACTTTGTAATGATTCTTGTATCGGTCCTCAAGAATGCGTACAAAGTGTTTTGAAAATATCTTTGAAAGTGTTTGTGTGAGATGATTTTGTTTTGAAAAGTGTGAGCAAGTGATTAATAGTATTCTACCCACTCAAGGTCTTTCTTATACTTTTCCTTCTCCTTTAGATAGTGTTATCCATACCATTAGTTAGTAAGAAGCCCTATCGTTGGATGTGAAGGGACATACATAGGGTCATTGTAAAGTCATCGAAGGAAACTTGTAAGGACGCTTTAGCAATTTCGTAAGGGACTAGATCATTTATCAAAAGGCAACATCGAAGGGTCATCGAGAGATTATGATCTTTGATTTGAGGGTCTTTGCTAAAGTGTCTCCACTTTTGAGGAACATGACTGTTTGTTTTTTCGAAGGCAACATAGGGAGGTTACCCTACAGGTTGAAGTGTTCAAGTGCGTTGATTCAGTTATTTTATCTTTTATTAGGATTTTCTAGCGTTTTATTATTATCTTTCCATACAAACCTATTAGCTAACAGTTATATATACATACAAGGCATACAAAGCATAATCACAAGAATAAAGTCCGAGAAAGTAAAGACCTGCAGCTATTACATGGCTTCGAGAGAAGTTACATGATAAAGAAATTGTGCGAGAATTTAAACTAGGTTATTAAAAAATTTGCACATCCTATACAATTTGTCTAATAAAATAAATAGCAAAATAAAATAAAATGTTAATAAATTATTTTTAATATCCTAACATCTAAAATGTTAGAAATTAATTTTTGTGTATTTTTTGGTTTGATTTGAATGATAAAATAAATAGATTTTAAACCTAAATTAAATACTTAATTAATTATAAAAATACCTTGTCTAATTAATTAATTAAGAAAAATATTTTCTAAAATTAAATTAATCCATTAAAAGTCTAAATCTGATTTTATTATATTTTTATAAATTTTTTATTAAAAAATAATTAAAAGACAAAGAAATTAATTAAACAAAATAAAAAGGAAAAATAGGAAGAAAATTGTAAAATGGGTAAGCCAGAAAAAAGGGTTGCAGGCGCTGGGGCGCTCATCTTCACATGTGGTCACCTCAACCTATTCTAAATATTCACATTTGAAGATCTGAATGATTAGTAGCTATGAAACACACATGGAATGAAAGATTTAAAAAAAATCAAAATTTTACCAATCGAAGCAAGTGGTTGGACTCGTTTCAGGTGGTGAATTGATTGGATATGAGTCTAAAAATATTTCTCAGACCTTCAGGAAGTGACTGTAGACCTTGAATCTCTTTGAAGTTGCTTAGAATTTGAGAACCGATTGTGAAACAAAGTTGAATATTTTTTCTCTTTGAAACTATATTCTCTTGCCAATTCTTCCTCCTTAGCATTTGAGTGTTGTGTGTGTTTATAGAGGAAGGAAAAGACCAACCAAACATGGAAAGAATCTTGCATACTTATGGCATAATTCATTTCCAAAGACAAATTGAAAGCTTTCCAAAACATTGAGGATATGCTTCCATAATAGTGTCACACAGTTTTGGCATATTTGTCATGTGTTCATTGGGCATTAAGTTGATCCAACACCAAGCCCACATGTCTTAGTACATTAGTTTATCATTTTCTTTGATTTATCTTAATAATATTTGCATAAAATTAAAATAAATTAAATAAAATAATTAAAAAAACATGGCCATGTACCAAATTATTTATAGGTCCTCTAACATGTCATAAACATGTTTGAACTTAAAAAATTAGGTCCCTTAGTCCACAATTTCAAAATTGGTCAATGTAAGTTTCATGCATTTCTCAAAATTGCTCAACTTGAACCAAACATGACTCCTTCAATTTTTATCATATGAAGGTGATCCTGAACTTTTTGGAAATATCAAAATGTCCCCTACAATCTTTATGTTTATCATTTTTACATTTGAAGATTTTATCTTGATGTAAGTTGCATTGACAAAAAGTGTCTTTTTATGGACTTTTGAAATGACCTATAATGTTTTGGCTCATATCTCTCAAATGAAGCATTTTTTGGACTTGAGCTTAGAGACTCAAAGTTTTAGAGGATTGAATTTACTTAAAAATTAGCTTTGGTTGAGAAAAATATGATGAAGCATGTGAAAGTTATGCTTGGTCAAAGTTCAGTTGACTTCTCCTTAAGAAAACCCTAATTTGGTAATTTTTTACTTTTGATGAATTGAGAGTTTTCTTGATGAATCATGATCAAACCTTGATAAAATGATGAATGTGACCTCAAAATCTTGTTATTGATCAAAAATCTTGAAGTTTGACTATATGTTGACCACATTTGACTTTTTATTCAATACAGTTGACTTTCACTCATCTGAGCAATTGATTGCACAAACTTGTGATGCAAGGCTTGAAACTTGACATGAGGATTATTTGAAGTATATGAGGAACCATGGAACTTACTTGAGGCATTATAATCTCAATTGTCTTTGAGAAACATAAAACGCTAGTTGCAGGTCAATTTCTTAGGAGAGATGCTTGTATGCTCAAACCCTTGAGTATTCTTGAGCAATTGAGAACCATAGGAGCATGAGGAGGTGTCTTGAATAAATTGTCTTCAAAAATGGGAGGAAAATTTTTGGGGTACAACAACGGGTCTGGGTGGCAGAAGGTCCTCGAGCATTGGGTCCGATTTGGAAGGTTCGCGGGAACTGTTCTTGGTCGTTTCTGTTCACGAATTTGTTCTTTAATAGGTAGTGTGTTAGACTATTATAATTATAACTAATATCAAATATAATACTAAAATATACTATAAGATAAGGATTGTGATTCATAATATCAAATCTAATACTAAAATATACTTTAAAATAGGGATTGTGAACTATATATAAATAGTTAGAGAGATTGAGAAACACTTGAGTAGAAAATATAGTTTTTTCTTGGGAACTTGAGTGAATTTTTTTGAAACTCTTTCGTAATATCTTGTAAAAATAAATAGAAGTATAGTGAATAAGAGATTATTCTCTTTCTTATAATATACTGGTTTGATAGTGAAATAACCGGCTGAACAAATCATCGAGATGAAATTAATGAAGTCACCATTGAACGTTTTTTATTCCACATGAAGGGAAAGGTAAACATTGAGTAAACTCGAGAATGGTGAAATTAAGGTCGAACGACCAAGAGAGA